AAAAAAAAAAACAGAAAGTATTAAACAATCTCACCTCAGCTATACGATAATGTTTTAATAATTACCATAGCAATAATTGAATTGCATAACGCACGATTCAAAATATTTTTTGGATTTTCTATATTCTTCGTTTTATCAATTATAAAAATTTTTTTTCACTTCATTTTAGACAATTACTTCATATACTTGTAATTTAATAATGCTCGTATCATACGTTTATCTTATAACTCCTAATTGTTGTACTACTATCAAATTGTTTTCATTTTAGCTTAAGAATTTTGATCACTTTTGACTTTTTATCCCGTTTCAACTTGCTGCAATTAGTGCCACGGACAAAACTATCGCCAGCAATCACCGAGCCGTTGTACGTTCTCACTCCTAATTACTTGAGATGTATATAATTGAGCAAAAAATTACGTTTCACACCATATGCTGGACAAGGGCACAGATTTTACTCAGCTCTTTACAAGCATGTTTTTCAATTCGCCTGATTTTACCACTATCTTGTATTATTTGATCATTATCATTTTCTACTTTTTAAGCCTTTTATTATCAAGCACAACTTTTTATGGGTTACGGAATGACGTGTTTTTTTGCTTTTACCTCACAAAGTATTGCATGGTACATGCATTTATTTTCCTAATAAACATTGACTTTAAAATCAGATTTCACAACCGCGATTTACGTACTCGTTCGTAATGAGGAGTGAGCGCAAACACGCCCATTTTATGTTTGAAAGTGCGCTGAAATAGTGAAAAGGTTAAAAGATATTGTGTTAACAATGAATGAAAAAAACATCACTTAGCATTACATTGGATTTTTTTTTTTTAATTATTTCTTCTAATTAATCAGATAAATCAGATTATAATTCCACATTTAAATTCATTTATTTTTAAATAAATAAGCGTGCGAATGTTTAAATATGCGTATCTGCTCTCATATATAATTACGCAACTGTTATTTGTGCCACAATTATGAGCGCGTGTTATTAATCTCAAACGAGGTAATGACATACCATAATAGATTACTGAACGTAGTTTCATTTCAAGGCCTGTAAGCATCAACTGCGCTGCGGAAGACTTGGCTCATCTGCGAAACATTCAAGTATTGTTCAACAGTCAAATAAATGTTGATAAAGACAATCAAAATATCCAGGGATATTGTAAGAGGTGCCTGTTTCTTTGTATTATTTTGATTTATTTTTTTTCTATAAATAATATATTACACTTTTTTCAAGAAGGTAATAAAATTGACATCCAAAATCTTTGAAGATCCTCTAATAGAATGAAACTATTGAGGAATTTTGAATAAGTATGTGGCAACTACTAAATTCCTGAGTTGCTTTTTGAATATATTTTACTGTGTTTTTGTTTCATTAATTATTCAGACATTTGTGTAAAAATTTTTTTTATTTGTTATGTGCAATCTTACCCGTTTAGGATACTATTATTTTATGTGATTATGTACATAAAAAAAAATATGCATTGTTTGACACGATGGAAAATATAATTAAAGACAAATTTCTAAATGCGGCGTATGCAATGCTTCACGTAAAAAATTACATGTAGTAACGCAACTAAATAATGAACCAAGTATAAATGATTGTGAAAACATTTTACAGTTTTTAAACTGTTACTTTTAAGTAACTCATATTGTTTGTTTATCTATCTACTCGTAACGAGACTATACTAGAATCTTATAATCGATTTCAAACCTGTATACAAATGGACAAATAAATTAGCTAAAACAATTTTAAAAAATTTTTTTTGCAGAAAGGTTGATTATAGATCATAATGCGACGTATTTTCTTTTATTACTATTCTTGTAAATTAAAAATTATAGATTTTAAATTCATATCTGATAAGGACATTCCAATTTCTCTGTATACTTATATTGATGGCTTGTCTTATCTTACTTGTCTGTCTCTACTTAATTGTATAGTGAATAAACTCTCATTATGGATTAAAAACGAAAAATACTATAGACTATTTCATTCCATTGTAAAGAAAAATTATGAATTAAATATTATAAACACAATTTTTTTAAATACATTTTAATTCGTGGACCAATAAGTATAAAATAATTATTTCACCGTGCACAAGATTGACAGAATCTAAAATAAATCATGATACCTGCGTGTCACGGTATTTGTCGTTTTTTTGCCTTCACGATTGGTTCTTTGATTTCACAACGTGTTAAGACGGGTTTATTTATTTTGGTATCGACAGAAAGCTATACTGGTTGAAAACTACGAGGAAATTCTCATTAAGGAATGAGTTCATGGTAGCTAACTGGAATTCGCAATCAACAACGTTTTAAGTACACGTACCAACATTGAAACGAAATCTTTTTCATTCGAGTGTATCAAGGCTATATTTACTAATATTTTTGAGCACCATTCAAGACAATCGATTTTGGATTGCTTAAGGTTGAATAGAGCAAACTAAAATTAAGCGTTAGACAAAGCTTTAATCTATAAAATCGTTTGAATTACGTCACAAACACCATAGGGTGTGTAAATTGTAGGTCAATTAAAAAATATTGAAAACCATTCAGTTGTTGGTTCAACTAGGGTGCAAGGTATTTTGCAAAAATTTTCTCTCACTAAGGGTGGAAAAAATCATTTATAAAGTTCGAGGCGAAGTTATCCATACCAATATTTGCAGTTCAACGTGATGTTACCTCGAATCTGGAGAAATTAAGCTATGAAGGCCAACGCCCTTCACGCCTGACCAAAGTAAGTATATAGTCATGTAGAGCGTAAAATTCGCAGACTATTATCGAATTTGTGCCATAGTGCCAGCTAAAGGTTGGCCTATGCCACACTTGCACTGATGCAAAAAAGTGGTGAGGGTAGCTTTGCTGCGCCACTGTTCTAGCTTTGGTAAGTTAAGTAATGCTTTTTAGGCTAAGGTTGCTTCATTAGAAACGTTTTGCCACCGCAAATGTGACCAGCCGTCATGTATCAATTGATCAGACCGGCCAAGGAGATGATGTTGCTTGGCTGTCAAGCGAACCCAGCCTCACAATTGTTACTTGGATACAGTGAGTCACCTCAAAGCTAACCTATACAACCAATTTTATTTTATCAAAAATAGGGATGAAGTCAATACTTTCAAACCCCTATTAAAAATTAGGTTCCCGTTTACCCATGATCGTACCTTTGTAAGTGTGATACGTTAAAAAAAAGCTTATAGTATTAAATGAAAGGGATTTACGAGCGAAACACATTGAGATCATAATACTCATTGTTACGATGAATGAAAATATCTATAATATAAGCTAAGAAGATTTTTTCTTGATGACGAATTAAAATTTTTTTTTTAAGTACAACATTTTTTGCGTTCGGTGCAGAGGGTGAAATGAGTCACACATCGTACCTATGTTCAGCAGCTAGTATTCAATTAATAGATTTAAAAAATTATCAGAAATTTCCTAAAAAATTATAAATAATATTTCTGTTAGTTTTCAACTTTTTTAACGTAACTTTACAGTTAGCTTATATTACAGACTTCTCTTTTAATACTTTATCTTTGACCTACCTTTTTCCACGAAATGAGTCATAAATATATATGACAGCAAAAGCATAGAGTTTTCAGAGTATTATCAATTACATTATCTATGTACAAGAAATTATATACATATATGAGTGAATTCACAAAAAATATTTCAAATTTGTTCCCCATTTTTTAATAAAAAAACTTTTTTGTCTCACCATCAAAATTTGGCTTATTTTATTCACAATGTCATGTATTGTAAGGAAAAAATATATGTCATCACGAGCAAAATAAAGCNGATACATGATAGATGTTTCTACCTGTAAAACGAAGAAGACTTCGAATAAATTTTTTTTGGCTAACTATATTTTACCAAATATTTTTTACTATCTACCCAAGTTGTCGTAAAAAGCGAGAATTTTTTGATAAAAAAAATTACTTAAAAAACAGTTAATCAAATGTCTTGAAATTTATATGAACATTAATATGCATCGTAAAAAAAATATCTAGAAAAAATTCCAGTAATTTATGTAGTTAAAAGGGCTGAGTATACATATCGGTATTATTGTATATACTGACAGCGCATGTTTACATATTAATTTATGCATTTCGTTGAGGTTGTGACGGGAAATTTTCACCTACAATGGAAGAGTTCATTGATACATCAAAAAAACGATGTTAATTAGAAATTTTGCATGATTAGCGGTGGGCTTACGAAAAGACGTCATAATAATGCGTTTGTCGATGAAGCTAAGGCTTAGGAAAAGGGATGGATGTCTTTTTTCAATGCCAAACATAAGTTCAACTAAGTAATCAACGTAAGCCGACAGAAAATTAACAATGTACAAAAAAATAGTACTCATGTAACAATAATAAATTTCTTCCCTACGTAACAATAATAAATGTCATTGATATATTTTTAGATACCCTTTAATGAGATCACTTCAAACTAGCAGTTGAACGTTGAAATAGTTTTTAATATCGGATAATTAACAAAAAATTTATACGGCTCTTTTCTTTAAAGTTGCATTCAGTGCTATAGTCAAACGTCATAACGAATGACTGATAAAATCGTTCTCCCCTCCCCCGAATTGATTACACGCGCTATGCAGCGTATAATATGCTCATGACACCTCTCCTTGCACCTGAGCTTTCCCAAAGCTAGTCACAGTCTCATTTCTTACATCGCAAGGAGTATACGTACCTACCAACACTCCACTAGACAAGATTTTTCTGTGCTAAAGTGAAGTGTTTCTGACGAACATGAAAAAGGTAGTCCTTTGCTTTGTTGGTACTTTATTGTGTGTGAATGTAGTATGGGCATTCTCGCCCTTAGTGAACATTCGTAATGGTACCTTGGAGGGCATCGTCATGAAAACACGAAAAGGAAGGGAGTTCTTTGGATTTCGAGGAATACCCTATGCTGTGCCACCGTTGGGTGAACTGCGTTTTGAGGTAAAACATTTTTAAAAAATGTCTAATTGCTGCGAAGTAACTTGTGATATTTACATAGTTATGAATGAAGTAAAAGATGCCTTAAAAATAAAATGATAGGTATTTTAAAAAAATTTCTTTACAAAAGAAAAAAACTTGATGATTTTCATTTGTATAGAATAAACTTTACGCACTTGAAGCTTTTTTACCTACTTTGCATGTAGAATAGAGTTGCTGAAGGTTCATAAAATCACAAGGATAACTTTTTACTATCTTTTAAAGTGTTTTTTGATAATAAATTAAATTTAAGAAAAATGGTTCATGGTAAAAATATCACACCGCTTAAAATTTGCTGTTATATAAAAGAATTTATAAAATTTTATGATCACAAAAAATAGTGTAGATACTTACAACAATAGTTAACGTGCTTGTAAAATTCATGGTAATGATAGTACTCTATATTAAAATAAGTAAGAAAAAGGAGTTAAATGATTTTGCATTACGTTAACTCACAAATTGTTATTTTTATTTATTTTAAAACTCTAAATACATGTAACAGTTAACATCCAGTATTGAAATTCTAAAATTATATATAGAGCACATTACATTTCAGGGTTAGAATAAAAAGTAATAATTGTCGTAATAAACAGTACACGTTAAGAATAGCAGTAAAAATCGCTCGTGGGTGATTGTTGTTAAAAATTTATCATTTATTCGATTGTAAGATATTGAAACCTTGTTCTTATTTTGAAAGGTCGATAAGATAAAACATTGTAAATGAATCCATACTACGTTTCTTTGGCACCCACACATTCTTTGCAATTGTTTTGAAGTATTAACCCCCAAAACAAAAATTAATTTGTAAAGTGCATTCCAAACATATAGATATTATTATCAGAAAGAAGTGTACCATGCTGTTTTCATTTATCAGAATGCAAAATCAAATTTTAAAATGATTATCGCTCCATCAGTATCTTACTACGACCTATTAACAGAAAAAAGAGGTGGTAAGCTTTTTATGGATACAGATTACATAAGAAGAATTAAATTTTTATGATGGTGATGAAATAAATTCTGCTGAGTTGAACATTATCAACAGCTGTACTTTTTAAAGAAAATGTAATACGATTCCATAATAACATTTATTACCACATTATAATGATAAATAAGTTGGAATTTACGATTACATCTATTTACAGTGTACCTTTTTTCAACGAGGCTGTAACGTTTAACCATTTTTACCAACGAAACATCACTTGATTGTAAAGTAAAAAATGATCATGAAAAATATTTTCCATTCCAGCCCCCAGAACCTGCCGTGCCATGGGCAGGAGTACGGCCAGCCAAGGAGGACGCAAACGTGTGCACTCAGCGCAATATCTACACGCACGAGGAGGAAATTGTCGGCGTCGAGGACTGCCTGTACCTGAACGTTTACACGCCCAACATTCCGAGCAGCGATGAAAAAAAAATCAACAACCACCCGGTCATGATTTGGTTCCACGGAGGGGGATGGGTGACAGGCGCCGGCCACTCCGAGTACTACGGACCTAAATTCTTGCTCGATCATGACGTCATTCTAGTCACTGTTAATTACAGGTGAGGCTCTCGTTGCGTCTTCTTTTTCCTTGTTACAGGTAAATGGAGTCTGTCGAGCGAATATTACGCGCGCATGGTATGCGAATTTTCCTGGTTATTACGTTTTTTGGCCTTGAAAAAATAAAAGAGATATCGGCAGAAAGATAAAGAGATAAGGGGAGAAAGACAGTAAGAGAGAGAGAGAGAGAGAGACAACGGTGGGAGAGATAAAAAGAGCCACCTAAAGAGATACATGATAGATGTGTAGGTTGATAAATAGATGTAGATTTACGGTGTAAAAACACAAAAATCATACAAATACTAGACATTGTTGCAATAAAATTTTTATAAATATTGTATGCACATTATTAATATATCGTAATAACATTGTTTGATTCAGTCAAGACTAAATCTTTTTAAAATCATAAAAATTACCAACAGCCTACGATAATTGAAATAATTTAGAGAGAGGGAAAATAAGAAAAAGAGAGAGACATAACGATTTTAAGGATATTTTAACTCATGCACTTACAGTGTGCTGCCTGGCATGTAAACTTGAAAATAGGAAAAAAAAAAAAAAAAAAAAAAAAAAACTTGCAGTAATTGATTTAAAAAGAAAAGCTTTAAACATCACGCCCGAAGCGAGAAAAATCATCGAGATGTATTTTTTTTCCTCGCAAAATAGGCCAAGCAAATGAAAAATGCTCGAACAACCGTTTTAAAATCCACTCGCGCCTCGATGTAGTTTCGCGATCCAGAATGCAATCGCTCTGGTATTTACATAGCTACGGAACATTTTTTTTTTTTCTTCCCTAGCTGGTTTAGCAATCAATGTGGATTTCTGCTTGGTTTTTTTTTTTACATTATGATGTCATCCAAACGTCAGTCAAGCGTGTACAAGCAGAGCTGGTACAAATCAAACATGGCTCGTCTAGTAATTGCTGCAGAGATCGAAGAAGTGCGTGCAACTGTGCGCGTATACATTTACCAATTTTCCGATCACTGATTGTTTAAAAAATGTATTTTTATCGACCACGTATTGTGAAAACATTGACGCCGACGGCTGGAGTAATCCTAATTAATTTTCCCAAAGGCTGGGACCGCTCGGTTTCCTGAGTACGGAGGATCTCGCGTCTCCGGGCAACCAAGGCATGAAGGACCAAGCCCAGGCGATTCGCTGGGTGCACGAAAACATCGCCAGCTTCAACGGGGACCCAAACCGCGTGACGCTCTTCGGCGAGAGCGCCGGTGGTGTTGCCGTTCATTACCACATGATTAGCCCGCTGTCAAGAGGTAAGTGCGAGCTGGATACGAGCCTCCGTGAAACGGGTTTGCCGGAAATGCAGTTGCACAGGAATAGAATATATATATATATGCTAACGGACTCGCGAAGGAGATTGCACTCGTTGGGAAGCTTATGAATGTCTTTTTCATGCAAAAGAACTCGCGTGAATTTTAATTATGTCGCGAATAGCGGGATGCAAGCTTCGCTGTATTTTTTTTTTTTTTTTTTTTAGTTAGCATTCCTGGGCGATTTTTAGCAATCTTGTTTTTTATGAATAATCCAACGAAACGTGCTCACGAGTTGATGAAAATGCCGGTTTGTCGTCCTCATCTCGTCTATAAACCCTGAGTTTTTCAATTAAACCGTGCACCGATGGAGTTGGCAATTAATTCATGACATCGTGCAATCATCCAATTTTTTTTCGAAAACATTAATATTGATCGAAATTCACAATAGCGATTGGCTTTTAAGTGTCTAAGCTGTTTTTTTTTTTTTATTTTTGCTCTGTTTCGAATAAGAACAACACTTGCGATGGGTGTTTCGTGTAGTGGTGGTCTCCTGCCAGAAAGTAAAAGTACTGCGGCAACGTGTCCACATGGCAATGTCTTAATACCCACATTCATTTATTTTCTTGATCATTTTACTTTTTCTTTACAAGCTTTTTTTGCGCATGTCGATAAATACGCAATGCTATCACTAATAGGAGAGATCGTGTTTTGACTTTTTGTTTAAATAACGAGTAATTTTTTATGATTTTAAGAAAAAAAATATTTCAACCACTCTAATGTTTTTTAATCGGCTTCGAATTATTGAGTTACAATAAGTAGAGTTAGAACTATGTTGTAAATTTTGTTAAGTTCTTTTGGCCAAAAAAGTTTAGTTTACTTTTTAATGAATATTATTTATTAATATAACAAATATTTGATGAAACCCTTATCAAATGGCTGCCACCATCAAATTCTAACACCCCTTTTCATAATACTACCTGTGTCAAAGAGACACCCAGTGCCAGCCCTCTAAGAAAAATGACCACCCATTGTTATTCTGATACAAATTTTCAAAAATTTTTAAAAGCAAATTATCTTTTACTACTCTGTCTGCCTATGCCTTTCTACAAAAGATACATAGATGAAGTATCTACGACATAGGTATGATGTTTGGTAGATTCATATTTTGATTTCGCGTCCTAATATCCCTTCGCTACTTATTTTTGTCTTCATAACAGTTGCATGAGGCTTTAAGAGATTACGTGGTCGTTTTTACGGTAGACTCTCGGACTAAAGCTTCTAACAGCCGCCTATCTCTCGTAACCAATGATAATCTAATTGCCTAGCGACAATGCTAGCCCCCACTCCGTCTCTCTTTCTCTTTCTCTTCCGTTACTTTTTGTCTTTCGTATGTTTCCAACTTCCACACTCTCGTGACACAAACTAGTTAGTTTTCTGTCATATACAGCACTGCATTTGCAGTATACGTTTTGATTTGTTCTTTTGCCAAACGAGGACACAAAGCATATCTGAAGTACTACTATTTTGAAATCCTTAAATATAGTGTCATTGAGTTAAACAAGTAAAAAATATAATCATCAATGTCGAGTAACACGAAAAATCCACCCTCGATCGAAGTGAAGGTGATGGTTCGAGAATTCGGTAACAGGAGCCGGACGAATTCGGATGATTCAGAGTCGCTACTTTTTAAAAGAAACAACAGTACCAGCAGCACCTCCAATAATACTAAATCCAAGACGGAGACCAGTAAGAGTTCGTGCTTTGGAAATTGCTTCAGGTGGAACAAGTATCATTAATGACCAAACATGGGTGAAGAACGCACGGAGTTGTGGAGATAGTTTCTCAAAAATAAATGTTTGAAAGTAGATACACCGAATAAATAGTTCATCAAAAGTCGTTTGTCAGAAAACCGGCATCCAAAGGCATGAAGAAATGTAAATCAAAGCTTATTCGAATGAAATACCAAATAAGTTTCTAAATTCATCTATTAAAACTGTTGTCCTATTGTCCCTATAATTATTCCATACGCAACGAGGTTGAGACTCATCATTTTCATGCTCCTTTTTTCCAATTCCCAAAAGTTAACCTTACGTCCGTAGGAAAAACGCGCTGGTAAAATATATAAGCCTGCATATTCAGTAACTCGATATAACAACATGGCCAATCATCGTTTACTACGTGACACGTATCTTACTTGGCTCAACTTACAGTTAAAAGCTCGAGCGCACGCCATTGCGTCTTAAAGAGAATGATAGTCTAGACGTTGGACTTAGCCTTAAAATTAAGAGAAGTAGAAAAAAAGTGTTCTATCAAGTATTCGTTTGGACATTCGATCGTGAAATCCGTGGGTCAGATCACCTTAAGAGCCATCCGCCAAGTTTTGTTTGTTCAAACAGTTGGAAGCCAGAATAAGTCATCGATGGCAGACCAGAAAGAAAAGCCTCCTCATTTTGTAGTTCAGGTTGTGGACACAAAATGGTGTGAAAAGCGCAATTTTTACTTTACACCAACGGGATATCCAGTTTCCAAAAGAGATACTGTTGATACCATCTCTAATAACAGCTCCAATGGCTCGCAAACCTCGTGTTTTGGAAATTTTTTTCCGGCAAGTAAGGCGTCGTCTATAGTTATTTTTGAACGCATCAAAGGAATAATACTACATTGAACTACATGCATGAAAAACAAAAAAATTATCTGAGAACTAAAATAAAACTTAATATGTGCACTCATGAAGGAGTACATGTATCAAAAGATACAAAAATAAATTGAAAATACTTTAAAACAAACATATGCGATATTTTTTAATTTACCACTCCCACGTAATCGTCACTGCTCTCATAATATTTCTTTACCTTGTGAAATTTCTTTCCGTTTTTTAATTGTGTATGTTTATTATATTTTTTATTATTATTTTTTTTATTAGTAATATGCCATTAGTCTACACTTAACTAGAATAGTAGTACTCATTTTGTAAATAGTTTTATAATTTTACCTCTCTTTCGTTTTTTCAAATTATTTTGGAAACAGTAGCAACTTCGCTTAATACATACATTCGATTAATAAATATAAGCCATAACAAATACCATTAGGTTCACCGTACATTACAAATGATGTAATTTTAGGGACTTGTTATTTTCTTTAATCGGATTGCTGTGTTGATGAGGTGTTAACTGGCTACCTGCTTTTTTATTACTAAAGACTTTTATTAAAAATTCCTCATGATCGTTGACTTCTTTTTAAAAGGCTACGTTAACTTATTTTGACTTTAACCTTTGATTGTGAATATTTTCTTAATCAAGTCTGTTCACGAGTTATATTTTTTGATCTTTCAAAATCTTAAAACCCATTTTATAAATGCTTAAAAAAGTATTACGACTTTTTTAAAAATAAAACATCCTTATTCCTGCACAACCTACAGGCAGAAGTGGTATTTCTCACACATCGTACCTATGTTCAGCAGCTAGTATTCAATTAATAGATTTAAAAAATTATCAGAAATTTCCTAAAAAATTATAAATAATATTTCTGTTAGTTTTCAACTTTTTTAACGTAACTTTACAGTTAGCTTATATTACAGACTTCTCTTTTAATACTTTATCTTTGACCTACCTTTTTCCACGAAATGAGTCATAAATATATATGACAGCAAAAGCATAGAGTTTTCAGAGTATTATCAATTACATTATCTATGTACAAGAAATTATATACATATATGAGTGAATTCACAAAAAATATTTCAAATTTGTTCCCCATTTTTTAATAAAAAAACTTTTTTGTCTCACCATCAAAATTTGGCTTATTTTATTCACAATGTCATGTATTGTAAGGAAAAAATATATGTCATCACGAGCAAAATAAAGCCCCATTTCAAGGGTGTGCTTAAAAAAAAATTTTCTAAAAAATAGGAAACAACTACTAATTTTGTGTGGATGTACTCAAATGTGATGATAAGAGCATTCGTATCTATTAATTTTTAATGAACGTATGAACGCTCGAATAGATACGTATTTCCTTAATATTTTAAATATAATACTTTATGTACAAATTATTTTGAAATATGAGGAATTTCCTCATAAAAAGTATTTTTTTGTTTTAATGTTAGGAAGTTTTTGTCTTTGATTTTCGATAATTTTTTATGAGATTTAATACACCAAACCTAGTAAAAGAAAAGAAAATCCTATTTAGTCACTTATAATTAATAAAGACCGTGTAAACAGAGTTAAACATTTATAATAGTTGTTGGCTAAACACTCCCATACATAGTATAAGGTAGTTTTATATTCCTTAAGATGTAAGAGACTCGTTAAAAAAAAAAGTGTTTGATTAACATCAGCACCGTATCCCGAGTTTGGAATGCATTCAGGCTTATTTACTGAAATATACTAATTGTCGAGATAAGTTTAAAGTCATTGTTTTTAAACAAATTTTTGGTTCTTACATTTTCTTTTTAGTGATCCCAAGCAACTTGATATAAATGTGGAAACTGCTTTTAAATCAATTTAAATTTCTACGACTGAATGATCATATTTGTAGTAAGAAAAAAAAGTGTATTTCTAGAGGTGACCTTTTTATAGAATTATTTTTGTTTCAAATAGTTTAATTTAAATTATTTTTCATATACATACAATATTACCTAGCTCTCCTAGGCTCCATCAGTTGGTTACATAAAAAAATGGCGATGCTAAACACGTGGCATGATAAATAGACTTTTAGAGGAATCTTACGTAATATTAAAAAAAATTATAAACACACAATTCTTGAATCATAGCTAGTAGTTGATATTAAAAAATCAACTACTTTAAAAAAAAACGATTCTATACTAGGGTAAAAAAAAAATTTTATCAAAATGTCTCCAACAGGTCTCTTCCAGCGTGGAATATCTCAAAGCGGCACGGCTCTGTGTCCTTGGGCATTGACACGTCCAGGTTTGGCCAAAAAGAAGGCCCAACGTCTAGCTGAGCTATTGAACTGTCCAAAAGATGATACGAAAAAACTTGTAGCCTGTCTTCGTACGAAAGACCCGATTGAGATTATCGGTACTGATCGAGCTTTCCAGGTGAGATTTACTTTATCATCCGTAAACTCGTACCAATGAAATTTAGGGAAAATTAAAATATGAATATGTTAATATGTCTACTCGTGTGCCATTTTTTATAGAAATACTTATACATGACAGCTTGCACTTACATAGGTAAATTATGATTAAATTAAAATAACTAGAGGTTCTTTATTTCTTAATTCCTCATAGAAGATATTACATTAAAGTAATAAATAAAATCATGGTAAAGATAGACTGATGAAAAATTGTATGGTGAAAATGATTGAATCGTACCATTTCATAAAAAAGTACCTTCCAAATGTGCATGGATGCATGGGCCTTAGTTCCAAAGTCAAAAACAAGACATTGTCCATGAAAGTCTTCTGATTACGAAATTACTGCTATCATTATAGTCATTTTCAAATAAAAAATATGTTTAAATGTTGATTAATAGAGTAACAAAAAGTGAGGATGTGCATTCAATTAAATAGTCACTCTTTTAATGTTACTAAAATATTGTTAATTTTAAACAAACTGAAATATTCAGCATACCGGATGTTACAGTCAATCATACAGTTAATTAACTAGCTAATCACTGCTTTTATTTTAACAAATTTTTCATTTTACAGTTAATGATAAAAAATGTCCCCCAAATCGTACTCCAGCAGTCTCAATTTCAGTAGATAAAAAATAAAAAATATGCCCACTCCTAAGCACAGATTTTTCCGAGTGACGTTACTTGTAAGCGTAATAATCGACAGACGGCAACATCAGCACATAAAATCGTGAGAACCTAGTCATAATGCGTCGATGATTGTTCGATGCGTGACGTTAAGCAACGGATTTTTTTTTCACGACTACGGCACAGTTACTCTTTCATCAAATCGCGCGGTTGGCGAGTCCGTGTCTGCTACTTTCCACGTGGACGTTGGCAGATTCGCACACAACTGGAACGCACGTGTATAGGAGATCGCACGCTTATTAACCAGCCCATATCCGTCTTGGTGCACTCGTCTCTCTTGGCTACAGACCTTGCGAGATACGATTACCATCACTTAATTGCTCGTCAAGAGCTTCGGAAAAGGGCTGCTGAAAGATATATGCACTCTGCAATACTTTTTTCGCAAGTAGCTGATAATTGTGACTATGTAGTAGAGTATAAGGCCAAAGATTGGTTTTCAATCTTATTTTCGCCAAGACCCCATAACAGTAGCCATCATGTTACTGTTACAAAAAATTTTTAAATTAAACTTATTTTGGTCTCAAAGAATACGAAAAATACTATCAAAATAATTTAAGGCCCCTTTTGAGTCTTTTTCTACTTCAACTTTATAAACTTGCTAGTTTTTGTTGTATAACATTAATGCATGTATTTGTGATTCGATAATTTTTAAAAACACGTTTTGAGTACCGTACATCAATACTTTGGCGATTCATTAAAAATTATTTAAAATTGGAATTGAAATAATAAGCATATGAGATTATAACAAATATTGCAGAGTTTTTTACCTGTTGCAAAGATAACAAAAAAGAAGTAGACAAACTATTGAGTGAATAAACAAATTAAATTTTTTTATTTATTTATTTTCAATCAACTGATTTATTTGTTCCACAGGTCTTTGATTACTGTCCTATGATACCATTTAGACCCGTGATAGAACCCGACCATCCGGGGGCTTTTCTCAAGGAAGATCCAGCAGTTTCCTTGAAAAACGCAAATCTAAGCGATTTAACCTGGATGACTGGTGTCACTTCAGACGAAGGTGCCATCAGAACAGCAGGTGCGTTTGTACGCTTATACAAGAAAAACTTGCGGTAGTTTAAATAAATACGATACGTACAAAAAATATAATGGTTAATAATTCGGTTCATTCTTACTGCACAGTAATTAAATTTTTTTTTTAAATCTTAAATTTCTGTGCAGGGTTGTACGGATTATACAATGGAGAGTTAGTGAAACGCCTTGACAAAGAGTTCGAAGATCTGGCGCCTGTGACTTTGCTGTTTCATGACACATGTCCGCAAAAGAATCGCCAAAATTCCTCAAGATTAATTCGACAGTTCTACTTGGGTGACAAGCCTATTGATGAATCCACTAGAGCCGCACTGACTGATGTACGTTGTTCATTTTATACTATTATTTTACTGATATTACTTGATGATTCGAAAATTAATTTTTTTTTATCAAGATGTACACGGATGCCTGGTTTTACATTGCTGCTGACGAAGCTGTGCGTGATCATTTGAAATTACTATCCTCGCCTGTGTATTACTACTACTTTGCGTACAGAGGAAGCTCGTCGTTTAGCAGCATCTTTGGCGATGCTTCGGGAGATTATGGCGTCTCTCACGCTGATGATTTACAATACCTGTTTCCCGTTGGAGAACAACTTTTCAAGGACGTACCGCTGAGTGAAGAGGACCATCGAGTGATCGACATTGTCACTGCTCTCTGGTACAATTTCGCCAAAACTGGGTGAGAAACGATTCAATTTTTCGACATTAAAATTTTTTTTTTAAGTACAACATTTTTTGCGTTCGGTGCAGAGGGTGAAATGAGTTCCAGTTTTTTTTTAAGGATTCTATTACAAGTAACAGCATGAATTTTGATTTAATTAAAATAATTCGATGTACTTACAACAAATCTGTGAAAAAAACATCCGTATTATTTAATTTTTTTTCACAGCAACCCTACGCCTGAAGTGACGAAGGATACACCAGTTAAATGGAAACCAGTTCGCACTTCCCATCTGGAGTACTTGCACATCGGCAACTCGGACGAAGTTTACATGTCCGACAATCTTTTCCCAGAGCGTGTGAAACTTTGGAGCGATTTGATGCCATCGATTCGTGATATCGACGGAGTCACTTATAACTATTCCCCTATTAAAGACGAACTTTAACGTAATGAAAAAATATTTTTCAACACTCAGTGTCAGCTGCTTCTATCAATTGTCATGATATTTATTGATGATTTTACGATACATGGAGATCCGATATCACATCTATGTGAATGTTGAAAGAAAAACTTCATTTTAGTTTCATATGATACTTTATAAGATACTAGACACTGCATTTCACACTAGATTACTTTTGAAACTTTGGTAAAAAAATTTTAATTCCAATTTTTGTGAGTTTACATCGTTATTTTTGTAAGTCTACATTAAAAATAATACTGATTTTCATAATATTTTATTAAAATATAATCATGTACNAGAATAAACCGTTTTGTAACAATTAATTTATAGGTGCCATCTTTGACGAATCCAGGCGCATCTTGAAACGGTACACTTGGCAGGGAAACTGTCGCAAAACTGGCAAAACATCCCGAATATACCGAGACGATTATGTAGCCAGTGAGGTACAGTGACAGCTGCGCCAATTGGAATGATACAGAGTTTAAACATACATCTGTAAATTTTTTCAAAGTGCACATCATATTCTTTGCATCATTATAGATAAAACTTGTACATTTTTTTCATTAAAATTGTACCTAACATTATTTTTAACTAATTATTTCGATGTTTATTACTAGAGAACATACAACTAAAATCATACGAAAAGTCTAAAAGTGTAATATAATCAACAAATATGTCCAAAAAAGGTACAAAATTATTAAACGAATAATCGAGATACTAAAGAAATTAATGAGTTTGTAAAAATTAATACTATAATAATCAAAACAATAAGCAAATGATTCAATTAGTAAGTTGATAAATTATTGATTCCTTATTTATAGTGTAGTACTTTAAGTACATAGAAATTGATACCAATCATAGTGCAAGATTTATCTATAAACAAATTAATTTTGTACACATTTTATACTTCACATAAAATTCATAGTTAGTAGTCATGAAAACACCCAACAACCATTGAATTAGTAGTCTTAGAAGATAAAAGTGGAGAAAAATAATACTACAAATTTTTAAATTTCTCGACAAATTAAATATTTTTGTACATATTTTATATATGTATAAAATTCACTTGTTTTACTTTAATTAAATTAATTTTGTAGTTACAATTATAAAGACGACTTAGAATGAAAACATTGAAAATATTTATTAATTAATTTTTTTATTACTCGTGGCTCGTGACCACCTCATCCGAACTACTACATGCAAAACAATTGCGAGAATACTTGTAACGTAGCATAATAACAGCACACATTTTTTTACAACTTTTTTGCAATGTGTCATTAATTAAGATTACGTTGAGGGGGATAGTCATGGACTTTAAAAATATGCCTTAAGGGATGTAAGGCCACAAAGGGGGTGACCGTGGCTCCCTTAGATGACCATAAAGAGGGGAAATTTTTAGTCCGTTATTGTCTAAAGGTTCACTCGATTTTTTAAATAAAAGTAACAGAAACCACTGATTTTTTAACTCAAATAAAAATATGATGAAGCTGATGAGGCATCCACCAATAAAAAATACTAGTAGTGGAACAACCTCTGTAACTCCAAACGGTGTAAATGAAGTTTTATGTTTNTAATTAATTTTTTTATTACTCGTGGCTCGTGACCACCTCATCCGAACTACTACATGCAAAACAATTGCGAGAATACTTGTAACGTAGCATAATAACAGCACACATTTTTTTACAACTTTTTTGCAATGTGTCATTAATTAAGATTACGTTGAGGCGGACAGTCATGGACTTTAAAAATATGCCTTAAGGGATGTAAGGCCACAAAGGGGGTGACCGTGGCTCCCTTAGATGACCATAAAGAGGGGAAATTTTTAGTCCGTTATTCTTTAAAGGTTTACTCGATTTTTTAAATAAAAGTAACAGAAACCACTGATTTTTTAACTCAAATAAAAATATGATGAAGCTGATGAGGCATCCACCAATAAAAAATACTAGTAGTGGAACAACCTCTGTAACTCCAAACGGTGTAAATGAACTTCTATTTTTCATATTATTTCTTTTATTACTTTGATAACTGTTCATAAATTTTATCTTTCGAGCTATCACTCCATTTTCCCTGTTCTTTTGAATGCTGGAGAAAAATTTTTTTTCATAAATTAGTTATTTTTGTCATGGATAACGTGTCTTTCTTACAAATGAAGGGAATCTAAAGGGTTAAGAAATCCATAGGATCCTGTACGTTTTTTTAAAAACCATTAATCTCATTCTCCCAATTTATTCGATCCATGTATGTATCATGAGATGCTGTAATACTAAAAGAAAAAAAAGGATCTACGTTGAATAAGGCTTATAACTTAAAAAATGCTGAACTTTTTTTTAACTGGATGTTCTGAAAAACGACTAATTACATGACGTACTTAGGATTTTAAATAGAATACTTTAACAAGACTGACATGTTATCCATACTTGGTAGATTCCACAAAGGCGATCCAGAGATCAACAGTTTTTTCTATTTAAATATACTTACTAATGATTTAGAAATCCAAGGAGTGGATCACCTTTTATTAAACCAAAACCTATTTTTTTGAAATCCCTTAGCGGAAAAGTAGCTATTTTGCAGGGGCTTGTCAAAGTTGAGGGATATCGTTTTGAACTGATATAATAGAAAACAACTCTCTCATTGCATACCTAAAAAAAAACTTTGATTTATAATACGTAGAATGCCTCAATCTGTCAATTAAAATTTATACATTGTTATCATTATTATCATTATTGTCATTATTATTATTATCATTACTTTCATAATTATTATAATTATTATTATTATTATCATTAT